AAAGGGAAGAGTTTATCCACCTTTATAAAAAAATCCAGTTAATAAAAACAGGTAGAAACTGAACAGAAAAGATCAAGATCTGCAACAAAAGTTAGTAGGGGAAGGAATAGCAAAAACATATGTCCTGTCATAACCCAAAAGCACTGTTAAAATTTACAAAATATCACTCACAGCAAGTTCTCATTTAGTTAGGATTATTCCTTTAGCATTGATGATCACTATTTCAACAACACCAAAAGAATTAAAAAAACATTAATATGTGCATCATACTCACTGGCCTTGAAAGTTAACATGTTGCCGTTATTATAACTTAGCAACAAAGTAACTACCCTTCAGGCATAAATACTTAGGCTTTAGCAACAAGTGTAATGTGTGAGCAGTCAGGCAATAATTTCAAGTAGTCAGCTCTTTATGGCATTCTGATAAGCTCAGAACAAATGGAAGCCATCTGATTGTCATTAATGTTCTACAAGAGCAATTGGACACATTAGAAATTTTCATTGTGAAAATGGAGAATGAATAGCAGGTAAAACATTGATCCAGTTGCAGGATTTTAACATAAAAAGGACAATTTCATGCAACTTTAGACTGATAAATAGAAGATATAAAAATGTCATAAGACAATAAAGAAAAAACTGCTGATAACATGAAACATGTGAAAAGCCTCCTCACACACCATCTTTTGTGTGGTAAACAAAAGAATTCTCCCTCCCACCACCAAAAAAAGGTGTAGCTGCAATGCTAGTCTGTCCCCAGCTGTGGGAAATGTTCCTCATTAGAGGACAAGGATCTATAACTTTCTAATAACTTTTGTAGGTACTTTTAAATAAGTTCTTCCTTACCTTACAACCTGCAGTACTTAGGTTTTTTTGATTCATTATAGTGTAGCTTTTTGTGACTTCCTCTTTCCCACCTCCTAAACACTACAGACAGTTAAAAGTATGTATTTGTAGCCTAGCAGAGGAAACAAACCTCTTCCTTGCTCAAATGATTTAAATTATCTTAATTGGAGTACCACTTAAATGATTAACTGATTAGTCCACAACACACTAAGATGACACTTCTCATTGGTTCAGGTTGTCTGCAGATTCAGGGAGTGCTGTAACTTTTGATGTTGAGTGTACAACTCAGAGGTTTTCTTTGCAACTGCAAGGAATAGAAGCTGTTGTTCTAAGGAAAAATGGGACATCAGTGAACATGGTAAGAAACAGGGCAATAGTGATGGGTTGCCTACTGTGTGGACTGTTGTGGGTATGCAAGACATCCAGGTTGATTTTTCCTAAATTCACTTAACGTATGAAAAAATTGTCTGCAAAATTAGCAAAAATCCTAGCACCCCTCACAGTATTGTCCTACTACATGCAGCTAATGCTGGAAAAGATACAGCCCTTGTTGCTGCACTTTGACATGCAATGTCACATACGCAAATTGTCCCTGGAGTACAATGGACCTGCTAGCAGAAGTGCACTTATTCCTCTCTCTAGCAGGATATGGGCCATGGGGTCTAGAAAGCCAATTCTGCTTTTCTGGCTGGCTAACCAAGCAGACTGTAGGAGCATGCCACTGAATATAAAGAGAACTCCGTTGATAAAGGAGCTGCTGATAGGCAGAAAATATGTCTCCTATGAAAAATATCAAACGTTTATGATATTTTTTTAAAAGGCTAAATTACAAACAAAAATATATGCTGGTAACAAGGTGGGGGACAAACCCTGGAGATAAAAGGAGCTTCACAACTTGCAGGAATCAGGCCAGGATTTCACCCAAGGATTTAAACTGCAACAGAGCAGACACAGCTGAAAGAGGTGGGATCAAAGCTATGCTAAGCAAGTACTAACCAAAGGCTATGGAAGGCTAGCAATTTGGTCAGATTTGGCAAATTAGCAAGGTTCATGTGTTAACTAAAGCTGTGTTGAATCCGTTGTCTTTAGTCACGCTCAATGACCCCCTCATATCAGGCTCCTCAATTTCTAAAGGAGAAAGCAAATCACTGGCTGGACTATAATGATCTGTGTTCCCATATAGAAATGGACTACATTCTCTTTGTTGTGCACAACCCTTTCTTTGTGTTTTAGAATTTGAAGATCGCATGCATACTTGTATTTGTGATAGAAAGGAAGAACGGAAAGGGATTTTGAAGGATAATGTGTTCCATCAGAAAGGTTTAGCAGCAATGTGCCAAGCCACAACTTAGTCAGAACTGGCAATGAAAATTCTCCTATCTCAAAATATTAGCAATTGACTTGGGGGACGGGGAGGGAGAGGGGTGCAGCAGTTGAATACATTGCTTTGCACAAAACAGTAATCTTCAAAAAATTCAGTCGTTTTGGCACTTTCTACTCATGTCCAGTATTAGCAAAAAATGATACTAGCTTTTAGAAAGGGGAAGAGACACAGAATTCCTTCCTCTTTAATAATTTATACCAGGGTCTCAAAAGATCTGCAAAGAAATTGAAAGCAGGGTTGCTTTTCAATATTTAAAATGTTATGAATATTCATTTTTCACATTTACTGTGGCTCCTATCCACCACAAATGCAAAGGATGACTGTTCAAAATGTTTTCCATACTGGTTTTAGTTAAATGCTTCTCTTCTCCCATATGATTTGTCAGCTCTGCAAATATTACTCAGGTCCCCTGTTTACTTTGTATCTGTCCATAAAGAAATCCTCCTTCATTACAATCCGATTTTTGGGTTAAAAGTTTCTGGGAAAAATATACTACATTATAGACCATTTTCTGCGTGGCTATCAATCCCTCAGCATTCTATAAGAGCATGAAAATATTCCTTGATACTGGTGAAATATTCAGAAAAAATATTCTAATTGAAGAAAAACACTTTCCAATGGAACAATAGCTATCTTCTGACAATTGCTAATAAGAGAGCATTACAAGCATATTTTGCCCTCCAAGCATACTTTGTCTGCATATATTTTTGCATCCACGAAGAAGGAAATATATAAAGAGACAAGCAGAACGGACTGTTTCTTCACCAGTAACTTCATCCTTATTTTTATCTTAGGATGTTGTCTTGCTTTATATTACAACATTCTCTCTGAAGGGGGAGAAATGAAAAAGAAGTCAAATCCATCCGGTGGCTCCAGGAGGTGTTATTTGCAGTGTCCTAATAAATCAGTAAATCTCTTAATAAGCAAATATCCTGAGTAGATACATATGAAATGTACTGGTCATGCCACTGAGATTGGATCCTGTCGGTACATGCTCAAAAGCTACTGATTTACAGCTCTAGAGAAAAGCAGGGAGCAATGCCCAAATAACACAAACACGTACCTAACAGTGTGTTTGAACAGCCACGTCCAGCCTCTTGCCGGCACCACCACAGTGTGAATCCCACGTTTCATGGGTCAGCCCAACTCTTGGAACCACTTCAAGGGAGGGCTGTTTGTTTTGGAGCAGAGGCAAAGAAATGGCAAGCTATAAGAGCTCTATAATAAGAGCCAGGCCCACACACTGCCCAATATATTGTTCACTATGCAGCGTGTGTGCTCTTCCTAGGCTTTTCCTTGGGAACAGCGTTGGCAGCAGTCTTGTCGTAGGAGTAGAGTTCACTGAGAGTGTTGTACTTTTGTGTCAGTCTCTGACACAGAAAAGGGAGATTTCTCCTCACCTGATACATATTTCATATCGTCTCAGTACCTGAGAATTTACTGTGGGAAAGCAAGGGCAAAATCGCCCAGTTTGATTATGTGAAGATATGCAATGGCAAGGCTCTTCTACTGTGTCTTGTTAATTGACAGAAGTCATCATACACATGCAAAAGATGTTGTCCTGATTCAGAGAGGCAGGTAGAGTTTGCTATCCACTATTTGGGGTACAAGCAAGTCATAAGTAAGTAGTACTAAGCAGAAATCTTGCACAGAAAACCCAAGGAAATCCAGTCTTGTGGTGAAGCCCAAGCTCAAATGTTAACATTTTCAATCTAAATTACCAATAAAGCCAAAGCACTTAGGGCTATAGTTTGGACTATAGACACGGGGACACATCTCAGCAGTCCAAAACGATACAGCAAGTAGCAACAGGCACAATGTGCAACATGGGAAATTCCAATTAAATACAAAGAAATGTTTTTATGCCATGAGTGTGGTGACAGAGGAACAGTGACCCAGGGAAGCTCTTCGATCTCCACTCTTGGAGATGCTCAACATTTGACTGGACAAGGCCTCATACAACTTGCTGTATTATGGCTGTGCTCTGAGCAGGGGATTTGACACGATGATCTCCAGAGATCCTTTCCAATATAAATTATTACAACTCTATTTATTTATTTGCAACATAGATTGCTCACACACTGTCCTGGCATTCCCAGGTATTCGGGAGAGCATTACATAGCCCCACCCAGATACAAGGAGCCCCAGATCCCTTCTGATAAATAAAATTACTTCCATCATCCATGAAGTACATTTATGTGTTTGTCACGTGAAGCTGCTGCACACAGGAAAAGAATGGGCCATTTCTGAAATATTTATAGCTTTTCCACTGAAAGACTTGGAACTCAGAACATTCATTTTAAAACAGGAAACTAAACCCTACTAACAGCATATACATTTGGGGTTGTTTCCGAGTAAGGTTTTTTGCCCCATCTACTCCCATCGATGAACCCTTCTCTCTAGTAAAAGGTTTCTTATGTTCCACATCAACAGGTGGTTAATGTATACCCTGCAGCAATATGTTTTATAACCTTCTGAAAACATGAAACATTGTTGTGTGTAATATGAATACATGAAGACATTCTCATTATATAAATAGAAAACCCTGTTAAACTCTCACTAGTGTAGAAAATATTTTCCTTCCAATATATTGTTTGTTTTCTTTGGGAAACTCTATCCTTAATAAAAAAGTGCCTTCGTAGAGGCTGTAATGGGTTGCTTAAAAACAAGTAAACAAAAACAAACAAACAAAAAACCCACACACAAATCCTGAGAGGAAAGCCACGAGGAGAATTAAACAATTGTGCTGTCAAAACATTAAAAACAAAAATACATGTGCTATATTTAAATTAACTTTAATAAGAAGTACAAAAAGATAATGTTAAGCAATATTTTGCATGTGGTTAATAAATATTCTTCAACAGCAAGCAGTGACACATTCAAACATAAATCCAGTTATTTCTTTTACATTTTAGAAAAGTAACAACTTTTTCCAGTTAAAACAAGGTCACAAATTACAGAATATTATCATCCTCTTTAATTATTTATAACTATGAAGCCTACTAAATAAGTGAACTGTCACCCAGAAGATTTTATATGACGTTGATGTTCAAGGTTAAGTATACTTACATTTATCATGCAGTTTCTTACTGTGCATATTTGATTGGTGTTTAATTTTCTTTAAAATTATTGGTTTTGTTCTTCCTGTTTCTTTATTCCTTGTTGATATACTGGAAGCATCAATTTTCAAAGTCCTATACGTTTTCACACCTAAGTGACTCACTAAAGTAGATTTGTCATCCAGCACATAAATGCTCTCTGACTCCAGCCCATCTGAGAAATTGCTAACAATGTCTGAATCAGACTCCACATTATTTTTACATTTTTTTTTTCTAATCAAGTGTAACAAGATTTAGTGTAATCACTTCCATTAAAATTAAAGTGCCTTCAATTTTTTTCCTAATAAAGTGACTATTTGGAGGGGAGAGGGTGAAGGGGTGCTGTTTAGGAACTGATTTTTTAACAGTTTATAGATATGGTGCATATTGTACATATGTATTCTAATAGATGTAAAGTACTACATTGCATTCCGTGCTAATGCTAAGCTATTGTAGCCTATAAACTGATAAATCCAGCCAAAATGAACATCTAATAAAGAATATCAAAAGCAGTTGATCAAAGTAATATCTTGTTCCATTCTTTATTTTCATCCATCCTCGACAGCATAGGTAGATGGATGAAGTACTGGAAAACAAATGTTAACACTTCAACCTGTTGAAGCTCACCTCTTCGAATATCAGATGAATGAAAGCACTTAGTGCAATCATTAAAAACCTTGAACGCATAAAGACATGCTCCAGGACACTTGATTGAGTGAAGTATTCACATTATATAAGGAATTAAAATCTGAAAGCAAAATATAACTTCTAAATCATCCAACAATAAAAATATATTCATATATATTTATGTAGACACTGACAATATAGGAAGAGTATACATCATCTTGCATATTTTAAAACATCCTCCAAAATCCTTTTTGTGAGTGTTATCACCTATTCCTAACTCATAGCACTTTCAAAATATTCTTAAAAGGCATTAATATATACCAGGAATGAATCAGACATCAAGTACCGAATTTCAGTATGGTTGGCTCTTCTTTCAAGGGCTTATTTTCATGGGTTAAAGAACTAAGCACCTCTAGCCAAAGGAGAGTCCAAGTGTACTCTCAGGTGCACTCCCCTTCTGTAAAAAATCCCTTCTGATTTCAGTGACACAGATGAATATCCTGAGGATCCTAATCAGTTTTATTTTAAATTTGGTGCAAATTTTGCCCTGATCTCAGTCAGAGAGGTAAAGCCCTCAAAGTTTAGCTTCTTCCAATAAGATGCAATCACAGACTTCAAGGATTCAGCTAGAGAGATCTGAATCTAGAAAATTAAATGGTTTAAATCAGAGGAAAACAAACATTTTTTGTGATTAACATTTGCCTTACGTTGAAACATACTTATGAGCCTTTAGTTTCTACTACTAAAGGTCTGAAGTGACAAATCACTCACTGATTCTCAGATGGCTGGAATTAACAATTGAATTCAGAATAGAATTAACAGTTCTGGTTGTTAGGGAGTTTGGGTTGAGAAACAAGAGAAGGTAATGTTAAAGAGATACTTGAAGTTATATTGGAAACTGAGAGCGTTCTAGCAGAAGGTACATTGTTGTTGGGAAGAGGTGGAAGGAATCCTAGAACTCTGCTTGCTAAAGAACCACTCCCTTTACTGGAGGCTGAAGTGCGAGCTGACTTTCACATAAATTCACTTAATTACTTCAATGTTTCAAAGTCTTGAAGACAAAAACTTTAGACACGACATCAAATTATACCACACTCAGAGATTCTATTTAGATGTGTTTAGACACTTGTACATCTATCATGCTGGGTTTTTTTTTTTAAATGAAGCTATTTAACTTTCTTAGCTCATTTTAAAATATTTTCTTCCCCTGCTTAAAACCCATTGCATTGCTTTCTAAATTTTAGCATTATGTGTCTGCCCATAATGGGGCATAGACTAATGATAGCTTCATATCCATACTGAAATAATCTTTCATGCAAATTTGTTAGGAATGGAAATGTTCAAAAGCATAGACTTCATCCATTTTGTGAAAGATCAAGGCAAAAACTTGTGCATCACTAAGCTTTCAGAATAGGAATGAGAGGTCCAGAGGATGAATGCTGGATGTCTGTGCTTAAGTGAAAGCCATACCTCTTAAGGAAACAAAACCTGGAATTAACAAAGTTCCATTTAATTCCTGAAGCATCTTTCCCCCCTCCACCCTGGGTGGCCCATGCAGCAGGAAGCACACCACATTGCAAGTTTGAAACGCAGCAGTCAGCAGAAGCCTCTCAGTTTCAAAGGCACAACACCCCTCAAGTTGAGCAGAAATAAACAAGCAGTATTTCAATCCATGTGCTCTAAAAGTTACTTTCCTGCAACTCACATATGGTATTGAAGGCTCAAAACTGAAGCTGAAACAAAAATACATATTACCTCCTTCAATGGCTTCTTCCTCAATCATCTCACAATCCACTGACACAGTAACAAAGCCATTTTATTCTTCTTTTCCCCCTTTCCTCCCCTGTATATCCCTGCCTCCTCCCAGCTGCTTCTGTTACCTTTCACACAGACAGTTTATGGTCATCCCACTTTTAAAGTCTCACCACCACATGTGTTATCTATAATCACTGGGAGGGGAAGGTGATTCAGCGAGGCTCCTCTTTGCTGCCTCGCAAACCTGTTTCATGCTCTCTCCCACAACTATAAAAGGCAGACTAGCTCCTCAATTTAGCATAATGTTTGGTGGTATGAGTAGTCTCCCAAGCTAAAGCTCTTATCTCAGAACATCTACCATACTAATTTTTCTAAAGATGCTCAACAATACAGCAGTAACAAATTGAATTAACCCAGATGTGGAAGGTGAAGTTAATTTCATTGGCTACAACATAATTGAGAAGTTTGGAAGCCACTCTTTTAAAAGCAATCTGTTAAGAAATCTCTAGCAGACAGCCCTTCCTGATAAGCCCTGCTGATCTCTATATTCTTCATGCTGATTTATAAATTACTGTTAAATTACTGACCACGTGCACCCAGAAGTGCATGCCCCAGTACTACACTGGAAACTATTTCATAAACCATGTTCAGAATTATGGCAATTCCAATCCAAATTTACCACAGTATTGTATCATTGTATTTATTGTATGAATTTCCTAGGTCACATAAACCATGACACCCTGACCCAAGAATAAAGTGGGGAAAAAATTAGATTAGCACGTCAACAAAACAATTTGCCAGTAGATTCCACGTGCAAGTCTTTGATAGTGAAGTGACTTGCATTTGCTCACTTGTGCCCTCTCTCTGTGCTTTAAGTATTTAAGACCAGCAAGTTTTACTCAAATTAAATGAAACTTTTAGGTATTTGGCACATAAATTTGTAAGAACAGCTTTAAAATCCCAGACACAAATTCTGTACTGTTAATGGAAATAAGGCCTAACTCTTGTATTCTGGTTTTCCCTGCACGATGCTTGTGTTCACTTAAATGTTTACATTCAAATTCAGCTATCCACTTGTCAGTCTTACAATTTGCAACTTGTGTGTGGTCAGTTTACTCACTATAAACGTTTCTGCAGTGAAACAATAAAACACACACCTTCCTCCCCCAGGAGCTTGCTTTAACACAGAACAAGTGAGCTAAATGTAAAAGTGAAACTTTTCTGTAGCGCAGACACTCAAAAGCCTTGGTGATGCCCACAGTAACTGCATGTGGATATTTAGAATGTGTTATTTTTCACTGAGTGAATTTATATAGTATGCCTATTTTTCCATATTAATGTGATAAATGTATCTTTAGCCTGTGATAAACACCTGCTCTTTTGTCTGACTGAGCATAACACAAGCATAGGGAAAACAGTCAGTGAATGACAAAATAATTGCACCCAATAAAAGCTGCAGCAGCAGCAGAGCTGACTAACGTGAGACAGCATCAGCCTTCTTGTGCAAACTGAAGATACGCTTTCCGCATGCAGCTCTGAATTACACAGATGTTATCTTCCAGAGAAGAGGTCTTGTTGGAGAAGACGTGGACTGTTAAAAACATTTGAGGGTGCCTGTTCTTGGAGGAGGATGCAAAATCCTTCCTTATCAGGTAACCCAACAAGCCTCCGAGCACACTCCTGATTGCAGAGGGGAGAGTTCTGACTACACAGCGTCGTGCACGCAGCAACACAGAACATTGATTAAACACTGTGAAGGGTTTGGAGTACCTGGGGTGTGACCAAGGGTGAAAAACAAACCTCTGTTTCTCATGCCCCAGTCCAGTGACGTTCGGAGCGTCCCTAGACCTTGCTGACATGAAAGGAAGGTAAGAGCTCCCACTAGGTCACACAAAGGAGACGTCAGCTACAGAAAACATAATTGAGCCACTCGAGTTCAAGAGCAATTTAGCATGGGCCTCCATTAAACTATACAGTCAGAGCCCTTTGCCAAAAACAGAGTTAAAAGTGAAGGGATTTTTCTACAGTTCTAATTATTTACAATTATTTGTACATATGTACATATTTATATATTTATTCATACCTGGACAATGCGATGTTAAAGGGATAATTTATAATTTACAAATGAAACATTTTAAAAATGTATAATTATACCATGAAATAAACTTTTTTTATTGCTTGCCTTCCAGCCTTATGCTCATAATCACACTATTGCACACTTCTCCATGTTACATGGAAGATCTACATTTATATATAAATATATATGAAAATAAGGATATTTTTATTTTAATGTTGCAAGTAAAGTGCTCATTTTTTAACTACTGTTGATGAGAAAGGTTTAATCTGATGGTTTAATTAGAGGGACTTCAAGGGATACACACCTTGTCCATGCTTCTCCCTTTCATTTATAACTTACAAAGTACCTTTTTACTGATGTCAACTCTGTCTTAACTATTAATTCTATTCATAATATGTATTTGTGACCTTGGCATCTATACTGTCACACAAAGTACAAAACAGAATCACATTAAAAGCAAAGAAAAAGCAAGAAAATAAAACAGCGAATGAAAGCAGTGTATCTCTTTGTTGTTTTCAGCACATTTCCATGTCTTAAGATACTCTTTTATTTGATTTTAGAAATATTTGTACAACTTTGTTAAACTCTGAACATACCTATTTTATGCACTATACTCAAGTACTGTACAAAACTGCAATAAATGACACTATACGACTACATATGTCTCTACTAGAAGACATCATCATAAAGGTGTATCTTTTATTAAAGGTCAACTAATAACTGCTAATGTATGTGTGAATCAAAATATTTTTGATTGGCCAAGTATATTAAATTCTAAATACAGTACACAATTATTATTTATGTCATGATTTACCAGGCCTTTGGGGTCATAAAGAATCTTTGCAAAGGCTCAGATGAAAAACAATTTTACTGATCAGTATTAAATGTTCATATAAAATTGCAAATGGCAGCTCCAATTTTGTTATATTTGTGTATATGAAATACAGTTGATACCTACTGATGATGCATGACCTTTTATTAAAAAAATAACATTCAAATCTTAGCAAAACCATTTCTAGTATACAAAGTTGTTGTAAAGTTATGTCAGCGAAATGTAAAGTTGCAATTTACAAAAGCAGCAGTAAATTTTATTATATGGACAATTTCCTGAACTTAAATCATGGTTCTTGTTTCCTTGAGAACAATGCTTTCTGGGACAAATACAAGTAAATATTTTAATGGCAAGTTTTAGGATAACATTATGCAAGGAAAAAGAGTGTATTATATTACTAATATACTTAACCCTGAAAAATTTCTGAGTGCTTGTTGAACCTGACAATAATCCAATTAAGAACAAAATCAAAAAGCAAAAAAATCCAACTTTGCTGAACCAGACAACCTGGTTAATAAATAAATAAATAAAACTCTGAAAAGAATAAGAGTTTTACTAGTGGAAGTTGGTTGATATTGGAGATTTGATTAACATTGGCTTTTCCCTGAAATCAATTAGAAGAGTTTATTAACAACTTCAAACAGGACAGAAGTAAGAAACTCATGGCTTTTGCCATACAGTAGTCTTTACTACCTCTTCAGCCTAACTAGTATCCTGAATGTTTGTGAACAGTAGAACTGTACGACCTCCGTACTCTGTTATGTACATGGGTACTGCTATTGTATGAAACAATTACACCTTTTTAAAAAAATCACTTTTTTTAAATGACAGTTTATTTCATTAAAGTAGAATTAGTTACTTTATAGAAAAATATTTTAACTTTAAATTAAAAAAATACTGTTCCTAAATAATTATGTAGGATCATATCTTCATTTCATTGTACGGAGAGAATATAATTCTGTGTATTTGAATGCTAGTTTAACAGAACTCCCCTGGGTATAACTTTTAAAGAGCTGGCTATATTTGCCATGGGTGCTATCTGTTTACAGACCCATGAATTAACACTGTGTCCCTCCTTTGGAGATACACAGATAAGACATCTATATACACTCTGTACATAATGGTTCACAGATTAGCAGTTATTAGTCGTACTGTACATAGCGAACAACCTATCTGATTAGAATGATGCTTTAAGTCCTCAGTGCAATTCAGCTTTTAGGTTGATGGCGCAAAGCCAAGTAAGACAGGCTCCCTGTTTAAATACGTAGCCCAATACACTAGATTGAAAGTACCAAATAAGACTGGAAACACTATTCTAGACATTCTGTCAATTTTGCTAACACTGTTGAATGTCTTCTTTGCTTCCTGCGGCTTCGCTTCTGGTTTTGCCTTGTTGGGTTCTGCAGTTGTAGCACTCTTGGAGATGGTTGGTAGCACTGAGTCCTTGGTAATATTTGGAGCATAGTTGGCAACAGCCACTGCATAGGCATTGTTTTTCTTAATGACAGATGCTTTTTCTTTTTTCTATTGGAAGACAGCATGAAGTTAAATATTTAATGTGTATTTGCCAGAATAAACTCAATAAAACATCATTTCAAATGCAAAATCAACAAATGACTATGAGTGAGTATGTTAAAATAAATACCAGGAATACCATACTGATAAATGAAAATATAAAGAGAGATACTTCCAGTCTATCTAAAAAGAAGGTACAGGTAACATGAGAATGCTCTAAAAACACAGACTCTTGCACCATCAAATACACTTCTGAAGGTATACAAGGAAGGGTCTGTTACTGAGATTGTAAGGAAAACATTGGACTTTCTTTAGCTGTTTTGTATCTGGCTCCTTACAACAGAACTGCAAGGTCTTTAAAATGTTCTCTATTAAGAGAACTAGAATGAATGAACAGGTACACTGGGAAAAAAAAAATAAATTACCTGGCATTGTAATAAAATGAAAATGAGGCCATCTTTCCCACGTAAATCTCACATCAGTATTATTTGAACATCTCATAATGTAACACAAATAAATAAAGGAATTTCACTAATGTTCTACATTTTCTAAATATTCTAAAGAAATATGTATGTATTTATATGTATATAGCTACAAATGTCTGGTGGGAGAGAGTAGAGGACTAGACCAGACTCTTCTCAGTGATATCCAGTGGAAGGAGAAGAGGTAATGGGCACAAACTGAAATACAGAATATTCCACTCAAACATACAAAACCCCCTCTTTTACTGTGAGTGTGACTGAGCACAGGAATAGGTTGCCCAGAGAGGTTGTGTAGTCTCCACCCTTGGAGATAATAAAAAACCACCTGGATATGACCCTGAGCAATTGTCCCTAGCTGACTCTGCTTGGAGTAAGGGGGTTGAACTAGGCAATCTCCAGAGGTCCCTTCCAACCTCAGCAATACAGCAGAAAATGCTCTCCATATATAATTTAGAAGCAGGCGAATTAATTTTAGATTCAGTCCATCTCTTCCTCAAAATACAGAATTAAACAGATGAAGATAAGTTGGAATCATCAGCTGTTGAATTGGTTTAGTTTTATTTTTAATCTAATGGAAGTGGCACAAGTGAGGAAACTCTTGTGACAATTCCCATACAGGCCCATTCCAATTTTTTCCTTCCACTGGGAGCAATCTAACCAATTTTCAATTTTGGTTTTATATTAGCTCCAATTTGATATTTATCAGGGCTATCTACAAATCTCGATAAGATCTCCATGGTTAGGTGCTGTGCCCCAAATATCTTGTCTCAGGAAATGGTGTCACGTAAAAAGAAAATCTGGGATTGGGCGGGAATTCAGCATTGTTCCTTGTTGACTGAAGTGTGAAAAAGGGCTGGTCAAATATGTGGCTTGTCCCCATACCTCCTTTCCTGAGACAACTTTCATTTTGACAGCACTTAAATGGCAATTTCCATGTAACATCAACAATTACAAGAGGAACATTCTGATCTATAATTCCTTTCTTTCAGACACACAGTATGTTTTTAAAAAGTACCTGTAACACTATTTATGAGACCCACATAATAAAGATTAATCATATTTTTGTATGAGAAACTATGAATATGTTAAAAGTTTAGCTTTTTGTTATGTCAGTTTGAAGAAAATAGGGATCTGGCCGTGTCAATAATATATAAATCTTAAAATGGAATGGCTAATTTTGTCATTCCTAGGGAAGGAATACAGCTGTTAAACAGCTGCCACTTCTAGAATCACGTGACAACACCATTACATTAATTTAAAGGAACAGCCAAAGGAAAATTAGAGAGTTTATAGGGGCTACCTACATTATTACAATGCCAGGGCAATGTGCCAGTCTGAAAAGCTTCACTCATGACACAGTGATAAACTTTTAGTGATTCGGTATCTACTTCTAGCATGAGGGTCCAGATCCTGTAGCTATGGATTGTTCATGCCCTGGAAGCCACGGGGAATTATAAACAATGTACTAATTTCCTCTCATTTTCCTTCACCATTAACTTAACATTTTGCTTCTTTAAGCACTGTGCTTTATGCTTTCAAAGTGCTGAGAAACCATCAGTTAATTAAACTGTGCTTCATGTCTACTATTATTATCTAGGAAGGAAACAATATCCTATCCTATTTTAAGGAGAACCACAGAATATTTGTCAGAAGAAATCCTTTTCCATTGGTAGAATCAGGGACTGGGGTATATAATATAGTCAGTCAGTCAAAACAAGTCAGGTTTAACATTTGTTCTGTGTTATTAAAATTATAAACAGATTAAGCTTGACAAAAATTTAGGCGTTTCACCAGGTCATCTTGTTCACAAAATAATAAATTCTATCATGTAAAAATTTCTTCATGCTATCACACTTACACTGCTACAAATACCAGAAAATAAAGGCAAGTTTCTGTGAGCTCAGCATATCAGTACATCACAGGTGAAGAAGTGATGTGCAGCTGCAACTGCTATTTAAATTAATTTAAAAAATTATGTCTACATATCATTATCGATAAGTTTCAGAATACTGAAAATGTTTAAAAATTCTAGATTTTGTTATTAACAGTTGGCGCATATGGGCATTTGGTTGTTCTTCTGATCCTTAGTTACTAGGAAAATTAATATATATTATATCTTACTGTAATCTTTTTCTTATTTCCAACTCAGTTGGATTAAATAATAACAAAGTGATCAACCAACATAACCTGGATAAAATTTTCTGAATTAGCAGATGAACAGTTGTATCTGAGGAGTCAAGAAAGAAGTCAGACAGTTGCTAACATAAAAAACCAATGTGCTTGATAACTAAAGGTGGATTACTGGGACCAAGTAAGATTAGCTACATCAGGGCAGATTTATCTTTTTTTTTCAGGACAGAACATACATCTACATGCTTTTGATTTAAAGCATCGTGTATTGGGGTTTTTTATACAGCAAATTTTCTCAAAACAATATATTACAGCTATTTCAGTGCAATTGGCTGGAAATAGGGCTATTTCCTTAGGACTTACCTTATCATTCACTACACTTTTTCCATCCCAGGCCCATCCTCGTTTTGTGAAATAATTTACAGTTGCAAACTCAATTAATGCAGAGAATACAAACGCATAACAAACAGCAATAAACCAATCCATAGCTGTTGCATATGCTACTTTGGGGAGTGAATTTCGAGCACTGATGCTCAGCGTTGTCATTGTCAACACAGTTGTTACTCCTGCAAGGGGACAAAAAAGGAGAACATCATCAATTTTACTTGAATTTTGAATGTTGACCAAACCAAAAATTATTATGGTATGTTTGTGAAACATAATGGAAAATTTGCTTATCTAAGTTGGTGACAAACTGCCAGAACCTTATTAAAGGCTGCATCTGCAGTCTCCTTTCAAGTATTTTAGTTCAATTTTGTTGTCTAAGCTTCCCTTTTTTAATCAGCTGCAAATTTTACTTATAGAAGATAGATAATATTTTATTTATTTTTTTTTAGCTATCAGGACAGGTAAGAGACAAAATTAACAATTCCCTAATGGAACCATAATATTGTGCAGAATTACAGTAATAACAATTAATATGTTAATGTTTGGTGTCTGGCTTCACTGCAATGGCTGCAGGTCTGGCACCCATCGTTATTGACAGTAACACAACCATTTACCTTTGTTATTAGAAACAATGGCTTTTTTTTTTTTCCTAAGTAGCTTTCTCACTAACATAGTGACATACTTGAAGACAAACAGTTTAAGTTTTCATTCAGGTAACACGGATTTTTTCTAGAACGGCATATTGATTTGAAAAGTCAGATTATTATAACTGTGTATTATATATCAGAAAACAAGACTTAATGATCTGGGAAGATTGTTCTTTCACTGTGGTTGTTATTAAAAGCACTTTACAGTACTTTGTACGTAATGAAAACCCAGTAGGAAGCCAGGAATTATGCTCCAAAAAATCAGAAAAAAAAAGATACATGGGAGGAAATGAAGAGAAGAACATTTTTCCAAATCAGTTTTAGCACGCAGAAACCCACAGCCACAAATGCAGTCTCCATTCCTTAAGCAAATCAGTTCTCCCACCTCAGGCTGAATCACACTTAGACAAACTAAACTATTCCCCTTGTGGCATGCCATTAAACATGTCTCCAGAATAAAAAGCAATGCAAAGCGATATACTTAGCACAGAGCAGCAAACCTGCACTCCACTGTGACAGGCAAAGGAGACGCCATGGCAGAAATATTAGTAACAGCACATCACAGCTTCAACAACTCCACGCTCCTAAATTGGTGTAAGAGGATTCCCAAGGGAAAGTCGAGTCACTCTCCCTAAGCCGTATCCTCCGCGGTGAGCAATCTGCCACCTGGGTTCTTCAGCATCCACCTAGCTCATATTTTCCTTCTGCTTCAAGAGAAGCATTTTTAAGGGGGAAGAGAGGCAACAACTACACCTACTCAGGCCTCTTCAGGCTTTGGAATTTCCATCCCTCCTGCAAAAAATCTCCATCTCTGAGGGTGCTACAAAGGATGACAGAGCAATGCTAAGTGGCCTCAGCCTCAGCGCTGCTCTCCCTTGATGCGCTTCCAAAGGCCTGGGCGGCAGGGAAAACAGGGCACAGAAACATCCTGCTGAGTCACACAGTATCCAAACACCTTAGCAAACATAATTCTCTAATTGCTACTTTTCAGCCTCCGTAAATTAAAGAAGTGGATTTGGTCGTGACACTGTTGGGATCTACTAGCCTATACAATGACAAGGAAGCAGCTATCATACTATACTGTATGAAAATGTCTAGGCAATATATTTTGTAAAGAACTTATTCTCTCGTAACACTTACACAACATATGGCTTAATTATTTTCAGCACCTCAGGGAAAAGGCAGTCTATCTTACATTTAAAATTATCACATGCAAATTTTAACACCAGTCCTGAGCTGCAGATAAATCATTTTAATTACACAGAAGTATCAGTAAAGTGATTGTTTCTCAGAGATAAGGTGACCTTATCCACATGTAAATATATACAGTTGCTAAGGTACTCTTCTGTTTAAGTCCTACCTTTTAGAATAAACTAGTCTTCTGGAAGCCCCATTGGCTTCTTCAGAAATCTAATTTAAAATTAACTGCTGACCTTTTCTAGTCTCAATTAAAACACCATGAATTTACATCTTGTGTCTTGCTACCAGTTGACAATTTCTCTAAAAAGTTCAGCAAGCCACACCACTTCGTGACCCAACTGCTAATCAAACAGCACATTGTCAGGCAATTGCCAGTGCGCTTTCATTTATTCCTTCACTCTAAAAATTCACTTATATTCCAGCTACCACAGTCATTTTACCTGAATAGAGTGGGAAAAAAATTGGACAGAAAATTTAATCTGAGATACCTGTCAATTTAGGAATCTCTAGTATTTTTATACTTGCTGCGCTTCTTCAGTCAAAAGACAGATGATTTTGCACATTACAGTTAACTTCAAAAATTAGTATTACCAAGTCTTCTCTATGAAAAAAAGGACCTAATGGAAATAACCTGCCTTCTTGTCACTGCTAAACTTGAGAGGACTGAAAAATTATTAACGTTTAGGAATACGGCCAACCTGTAAATCTAAACATGTTTAGTTCACAAAGATTAACATAAAACCCCACTAAACCCACACAGTAACCAGATCAAAAACATTGCATTATCTACTTCATAATACTAGTGAACTAAATTTGGTATTTAAACCAGTGAATATAGGTTGTCTCCCTACAACAGGGTAGTCAAAATATTAAGAGGAAAGCCATCTTCTCCTCTAAATCCTATACTACTCTGAATAGCCTAAATAATTTAACAGGCTATGTTAAAACTGCATGATACCTCACTATGATGTAGAATGATCACAGTTTACACACAGGTCAAGAACTATCTTCTATAGCCCAGCACCCAGCAGATGTGGCACTGCACAGGTGACAGAAGGACACAGACAGGTGTCATCTTGTAAATGACCATGAGCAGTCCTCAGTTTGTCTTTGAAAGTGATCAAAAAAAATAAACCATTGACGTTTCCCTTCTCTGAAGAGAACCAAGCATTTTATACTTGACAGTAAATACACCTCAACATCATAACAACTTTTGTTCTCAGCAGTGCATGCCTATAAAAGATAAATATCTTCCATCACTACAGGTTTATCCATTCAGACCAAGCCTGGAGCTATTTGATTGCCTAAGATTTTTTTTTTTATGTTGCCGTTTTGAAACGGCATCTCCTCACTGGAGGGAGGATATCCATCTCCAGGGCTGTAAATTCAACACTTTTCGCTGGCACTAAACTTATATATGTGTGGAAAATACAAACTGTGTCATATTTCAGATTACAGGACAGATGGATACCATTCAAGATGTGTTTAAAGTTAGACAGAGACATTCGGGCAAACAATTGCTGTTACTCAATGCTGTAGGGCACTGCCACACAACAGCGGAAGAGCTAAACTGGAAAAGTAGACATGCCTAACTAAAACATACAGTTAAAATCTGTCATGGTGACTAGTTTATGCCAACATTTGTGTGCAAAAGTCAGGCTATTCCTTGGCAGAGACAAGTTCTTTTGGACCCTAAAGTCACCTCTTGTGTATCAACCAATTTTTCTAATTTGAACAGATTTTAGTCAACTAAATCATGCCCTGGCCATCTCATGTTAGAATGGGGACATCTCATTTGAAAATGAAAGTAAAAGGCCTAAATAATGAGTTACCAAAGGATGTTTCCGTAATAAAACAGGTAGCTCAGCTTTGCAAATAATTTGTACAAAATGCCTAAAATGTGTTCCATTTCTTATAATGTCATGCTACTCCTCCCACAATTTTATCATCACAGCGCTTTGCAAAGATACACATAATGGTTGAAGAAGATATCATAAAAGGATTGATATATTACTACTTTTTTTTTTTTTTTAATTAGGAAGCTAATTCCATTGCTCTATTATTTCACTCCTTTTTTTTCTTAACAGTAATTGCAAATTTTTTAGGTAATTAGATCACTCAACCTGGTCCAAAACATGAATAGACTTATAAATACAAATAGCATAGCAGAATTAAAAGACTCTTGTCCTTTTTACAGAGGTACAGCTTACTACTTCATTTTTTCACTCCAAGAGTAAATGCTTAGAGTTCTAAACAAAAGCTTAAAAATTCTGCATAAAGTATTTTAAAGTATTAAACCATAACATTTGGCTGCACACCATACTGTTTCTTTTTTACTCATGCAATGTATATCTATTACTTGAGAATACAATGTAAAAGGAGTGTACATTGATTCTGCTTAGGCACCGGGAGATAAGTTCGAACACTCATTGAGAGAACGATTGTAGAAAATAGCTCAAGTGTTCTGTCTACACATCTTACTAAAAGAGCAACACAAAAAGCCAGAAACCTTTTTAAACAACATGGGAGGCCAAGGACCATAACATAATGTATGTCCAGAAAAACTGCATTCTGTCAGTCAGGTAAGCTACATATATATATCGTGAAGTCGGTGCTTGTGTTACTTTACTGCACTAATACTGAGCAATGGAACAGAGTTTCCCATTGATCAACAGTTGAGTTAATTCCCAAAGCTGAACGGCAAGTCTATTTACCCCAGCTCCAGTAAAAGTCATGTGTCATTATGCCACTACTGGAACATGAGCTAGTGTCTTGGCACACCACTGAGCCAGCTCAGTCTCTAACGAAGGGCTACAACTTTCCAGGTATGCTTGCCCACTGCCTACCACTAGACTGTTATGTCTACAGTTAGCAGAAATTCCCAATTAATAAATTATAGCCTCAAAATTGTGACTGCTGGGATACCTCCAAAGGCACAAAAGATAATCAGCAGCATGTGAAAGAAGTAAATAAAGAGAGCTTGGATTTGTTTCAAAAAAATGGAAAAAAGTGCTTTGAATATACAGAATTGTTCAAAAGGAAGGGTCTACGTTACTCAGTTCCCATGTAAAAATAATGAAAGAACAAATCTGAACTTTTCTTAGGCTCCCCTCTCTGTAGCTGCATAACTAAAAGCTCTGTCTATTTCAGGTCAAAATGGCTTTTTGCTTCAAAATGTACATTAATTATTATAGGTTCGGAAAAGATAAACCAAGAACAAGCAAAATGCAGGGATAGGAATGCAGCATGAGAATGGAATTATTACATAGAGTCAATAAAAGAACATAGTTATGTGAATTTAAAATTCTGCATCTTGGTCAATGTACTAAAAATAATACGACTATTATTTTTTTTTTCTTGCCTGCTTTTGGTATCAAAGAATATGTATCTACCTACATTCTTACTCGTACTCTGTGTGAGTTAAAACACAAAGATAACTGTAGCACTAAGAGAACTAATTTCTGATTTTTTCTGTCACCTGCATCTAATACTGCCATTCAAATATGTGATGCTTTCTAAATGTTATGACCCATTAAAATGAAAAGGGAATTCAGTAAGCTGCACAAGATTAGTTTTGCTAATATTGTCGACACTAAATGTGTAACAATAAACACATTACTAAATGAAACAGATTGTAATCTTGCACTAAATAAAGGCGTTATGAACCAGGCTTATTCCCTTTCGTTAAAAATGCAATCAAATGCTTTTCAAATTTATCTGCTAGAGAAAACACATTCAAGACTTATTTAATTAACAATGATAAAACGTTCTTCTTCCAATAATTTAAAGCAAAGTTGAAACAATATAACATTAGGCCATAATTCATTTGGGATATCTTAGGTCAACAATATTAAATAGATGCCATAAAGGAAAGGGATTAAAGAGCTCAAGTATAAAAGAAGACTCATTATACCAAGCCCTTAATATTAACCTAGAACTTGAAACTACATTGGAAGAGAATAGAAAGGGGAAAGAAAAGTAACTTCTTTCAAACATGAAATAATAAATGTTAAGTGATACTTTGAATAACTTTCTTTGAAAGGAACAGTATTGGAGTAGTTAGTCCTTTCCAGGACTTGGTAGCTCTCAAGAAGGTACTTGAAATAAATTTCTCATTGGTTCTGAAAAACATTTTATCAAGAGTAATTCTTTCTACTTAATCATATTATAACATTGATATATTTATTATACAACACAAAGATGGGTACCTACCAAGTGACTACTCCATATCAAAACTAAAAATTAAGTATGACCAATAAAAATGTAAAACTCCTGCGATTTTTATATTCCCTGCTCGAAGTAGCTTATTTTATTACCTCAGCTGTAGTATGGGCTTCATGTGTCACTGGTTGTAGTCTATCTGCAAGTACCATCCAAATAAAACCTTGAGTGTACCTGCCCAGCTCTAACTGCCAAGATTAATTGAGTATGAGGCAGAAAACAGTAAGAAGCAACAGATGAACTTTGTTACAAAACTGTGGCTAACTACACATTTTTTTTGTAACACATTTAGGCAGAAGACCAGAGTGTATCAGCAATCCCAGTGACAACTGGTATGGAGAAAAAACTGGGAGATTTGCCTGGGGCTATGTGATTAGAGAAGCCATTGGCATCTTGTGCTGACAATTTCATCTAGAGTGTAAAAGAATGTGAAGAAACAGCTCCTCAGGGGACACCCAACCTGACACAGAAGGCTAAGCCTGAGGCACAAATGCTGCACACAGGGTCTGGGCTGCTCCATCAGGCAAAGCCTGGACACCTCGCGTTCCCCTGGGTTCACGGTGCCAGTCCAAGCTGCCCTGGAGGGGAGGGAGCCCCAACTGCTGTGTGAGGTGCACATCTGTGCTGCAGAAATAAAATACTGTCATAGAAATTGCTATCTCCTCAATAAACCTACTGTGCTTAGCAAACAGATTTTAGAATTTATGTCACTGGATGGTGTGGGTGGTTCTTGCACTCACCCTACTCAGATCCCTCAAGACATCTTGAAACAGGTCACTGTTCATTATCCATATTATGCTAAAGCCCCAGCAGAGTAAAGCAGCAGGCTGCTACGCAGATAGTACTTCTTAAAAAAAAAACAAACCAACCAAACCAGAAAAATTTAAATAAACAATAAATCAAGAACAAGAAAGAATCATGCAGGAAGGAACATAATATTCCAGGAAAATTATCCTTGTGCCTTGTTACCAGTGACACAGTAACAGAAAGTGCCTTTTAGGAAGAGAAGATGAGAGACTTTTATGGACAAATGGGTTACTGTTTCCTAAATGTATAGGAGAAGGGTACAGAAAAGGGGAAGGACAGAGATACAGAAGGATTTGACAGTGTATTTGCAAAGCTGACAAACAGGACAGTGCATTTTCATAAGCAGAAATGGGCAAATTCACAGAAGGTTTTGAAGAAAAAAAAATCTGCCTGATAACTGCTGGGAAAACATGGCAGAATTCTGGTCCCACTAAAACAACTGACCCATTTCATCTGACTTTAATAAGGCTCATATTCAAACCTGCAATTTTCACAATGTTTTGTGTGGCATTTCCTCCACCAGGAGAGACAGTAAGTGCTTTGCTGTGTATCATACTTAATATGCATTTGAGTTTGCCCTATTTTTTGAAGAGAGTGTGGTGTTTGCTGATGACTAATAATCCAGTTTGATGCAGCATTCCTCATGGCTGATTCCACAGACATTACTTTCTTTTTGTTATGCCAGTCTCTTTTTCTTCAGAAACAAACAAATTAAAAGAACGCTGTTATGCAAATAAGAAAGACATTCATTGCTTTGCTTTTACAAAGAAGAGAGCAAAATCTTAATGTAAGAAAAGCATCATTGTTTTGGGCTGCTGAATCTGTCGGCTGCCTTATAGTACACTCCGACCAAAATTAGTGGGAAAGATTTGTCCAGATCCTAGAATAGGCTTTCTTTTGAAGAACTGCAGCTTGTAAAGTTTAATAGATTCAAATAACTAAAGAAATTCAAATTTAATTTGATTAATTTACAAATTTATTTAGAAATGTGCTTATCTACCAAGTACCAAAATATTTGGATAATACCAAGGTAAGATATTTCAGAAAATAATCTAAACTTACTTTTTAAATAGAAACATTATCATCTTTTTCCATTCTGCAAAAACTTTTTCCTCTCAAAACAGACAAGGATATAGAGACAGTACTCTAGTATGTGCTAATTTCCAAAAACCTTTGTGATTCTCAGGAGATCTGTAAGCTGAAGTTGAAAGCTGTTTGGACTAGAAATAGTATTGCATTCTACAAGCACACTAACTTGAATGAAAAAGCCCTTTACCAAGCAGATTTCAGAAATGCTTCCCAACAGCTTCAGCTGTTGCAAACGAAGCTGATGCTACTCAGTGTACTCACCAAAGACTGTCCTGGCAGGCACAGATTCTCTGTTCAGCCAGAATGACACTTGAGAGAGAATGACAGTCATGATACAGGGGAGATAAGTCTGAATGACAAAATAACCAATTTTTCTCTTCAAGTGAAAATGAGCCGTCATTACTGTATATTCACCTAAGATGCCACAAACAAACAAAACAGCAATGAAACAACAGGTTATGATTTTAAGAAAGTCCATTTCTTTGGTAAAAGAAAGTTTGGTGCATTTATGAGAACCAAATATGCTAGGGTTAAATTGCACAGAACGTGTTGTCATCGAAAGCATCCTACAGAATATAAGAAAGTTTTTTAGTATTACTGCATCTTACTCCCACTGAACTACAGGAAAGATTAGCGTTCAGGAACTTACAAGAACTGTTGTATGCCCTGACAAGAACTTCAGTCCTCCATGCTTCTGCGCATAAAAAACTCCCTGCATTCACCCAGAAGCACCCTAACACTTAATCTACAGTCAGAATAATGGGGATCTACCGCATGTAGGAACACAGTCTAAAGTCAGGCAGAATTATCCAGTATTTATGGATAGGCCAATAACATGATAGAAGGAAAAAATGGTTGAAACCAGCATACTTCACCATTTAGCAGACAAAAAGTGCTATTCTCATATGAATTAGCTGAGTCTTGGGTTGCAAATATTAGGATTCAAGACTGAACTCCAGATAGCATTAAAAAAACAGTCACTGGGGAGAAGTTCACCTCTGCTATCACTTGTTATATAACTTGAAAGAATCAGTGAAGTACTGCTACATGTTACTTGGACATCAATAAACTCTGCCTAATAGCTCACATTTTGCAACAGTTTTTTCCAGTAGCCTTCAAACGCCACCAGCAATGCCTATGTTAGTCATAGCTGAGTGAGTGCCTTTATTTTTTCAAAATATCTTTTACTAACCTGTACTTGATTTAACGGTCTCTTTTCCAATTGTTTGGCCTAAAAGATCATACTGATTCAATCTTGAACCATCTGGTGCCACCTGCACTGAATCTGAAGCATTGTAAGTCCAAATGTATGTCACTTCTGAAGTTGTGTATGCATCTGTGGGAAATAAGAGAAAATAATTTGTCAGAAATTAAAATTAAACAGCTTCCATCAAAATTCATAGAATTAGGAAAGCTACTTATCTGTTTTTCAGAAAAAAACCCACCCGCAAAACCTAAAGTGATATGGTAAAAAAATATGTTTGGCCGTTTAAAATAGCTTTACTGTAGGGTAAATGATTATTACAGCATGGCAACAGGGTACTCATTTGTGATTAGCCACAATTTATTGCTACGAAATTAAAAATAACATCTTTTCTACACCATTAAAAAACTTGTCAAAGATTAAATATTTTATGTATTCCAAAACTCATGGTAAGCCAGATGAAAAGAACAACGATTTGCAAGGTTTAGGACACGCAGCATTTTTGAACATTCATTCCTATATTGGTCTGATTTTCCATTGTCCCCACTCTCCACTTTAGGAATGTATCCCAAGCACTTTATTATTAGCTGAAATTCACACCTAAATATGGGAAGCCAGGTCCAGTGACAATGCCCTTAAACTTGTAGTGACTCTGGGCCTTGCCCTGCACACCCTCTTAAATTTCACTCCATCTTTTAGTGGGACCGGCTGACAATAAGCAGGCTGCTCTCTCAGTGCATTCATGATCAAACACACAGTTAGCCTAGGGTCTGTCAAAATATACTAGAATGAAAGCAAATCAACACTGTATTTTAGATAGCCTCTTCAGTAAGTAAGAAAGAAAAAAATCTGAGTACGTCCTGCAAGTTATTCCAGTCTAGTTCCCTAGTAACCAAATGGAATATGAGAGGAAAAGGGAAAACCACTGATGGAAAAAAGTGTGTGTTCATTTTGATTGATTGAGACAAGCATATTTTAAGTCTTACACTATAACTGCAGTGAAGTGAAAATGAAAAGCAACATTTCTGTTGGGCTGCAAACATTTTCACTTGAGAAATCTCTGGAGGCCCAGATGGAAAATTCTTCATGCAACTAGCCATAAATTGCATGACTAACAAAATCTGGCAGGTGGGTAGCATGTGGAGTTTTTTAAACACTCCCCTTCTATCTTTCCAGCTTCCCACAAGAAGACCTCTGCTTTAATGTGAACCAGCAGTACTGCCAACTGCTGATTACTCCTCATCCTCTCCACTGCTGGTGAGACTTTTTGATGAGGATAAAGAAAGGCAATCTATTAAGCTACATCTTCTCCAGTACACTCAGTTTGGTTTTTCTCTTGCATGTAACAATAAAACTGGGAGATTCGTACAGGCTGGTGATCCTTCTAGCAATGTTAAGATTAGCAGCATATGAAAAGCTGTGACGAATATATTCCACCAGTAGACTTGCCTCACCTAAACCAAAATCCTCAGGATTCCTGCTTATTTTCACCACTATCCATCATTCAAATTCTGTCCCAGAATAAAAGCTGAAAAATGAACAGTAGTCTAGAAATAAGTTCTAGGTAAAGAAATAAAACGATCACGGAGCCATTCAAAATGAACAGAAATCAGAGTCCCCTGGATGTGCCAACCATCTGGAGCACAAGTGACTGCAGGGGAAACGAAAGACGGTTTTTCTGAAATCACATTGCTCACAGTTTGAATTACCCTGTTTACTAGAAAACCTGAATCGATGGACAAAGAACAAAGAACAAATTAGAAAGGGAAAAAAAAAACACCACACACAACCAAACAAACAAACGAGAGAGAAAAAAAAAAGGAAAAAAACCCAAACTGTTCACACAAAGTCTAATATACTTAGTCAGAAGGGTTTCCAACTTAAAAATGCAAGTTTACTAGAAAATCAGAATCGATGGACAAAGAACAAAGACCAAATTAGAAAGGAAAAAAAAAACACCACCACACACAACTAACCAAACAAATGAGAGAGAAAAAAAAAGGAAAAAAACCCAAACTGTTCACACAAAGTCTAACATAGTCAGAAGGGTTTCCAACTTAAAAATGCAAATGAAGTCATATTGTAAAATAGTTTGTTGGCCTGAGCAGCAGTTTCATTATTACAGGGTTTTGCAGTTGTTTTGAGGCTACATGTGAATCTTTTGCCCTCATGACACCTTATAAATCAAACATACCTTGCTATGCACATATATGTAAATATTATTTAGTTAGTAGCTGATTGCAGCTAACATCTCTGGTGTTAATTAAGCTGTATTATGTACCATAAAGATAACATTTAGGGGGCAAAAAAGTCTCTATGATACAAATATTATTAATTCTAGTGATCTTTTATCTCCATAACTAAGATTTCCCTCCAGCGTAGAAACATCAGAAACACAGGATTTGTTTAATTTGCTCCAAACTCCAAGGAAAGGGGGTATGTGAATGTTATGGAGAGAGTGTGCACAGTACTCTTATCTGGTTAATGATGTCCTTAGTGACAGCATATCACCCGTTTTGTAACCTGTGATGGCTGCAATTAATGTAAAATTAGCCAAAATTTAAAGGTATTAACCAGTTCCTTAAAAAAAACCACTCTTGGGCCCAGCAGAGAATGCAGGCTGAAGGCAAAAAGAAAAAAGAAAATATTTTAGTGTACAAAATCCAGGAAATACATATAATGTGATCCTAATTCATGAAGAAGAAAGGCTGTAATATAGGCAAATGAAGTTACGCTGCTATTAAAATAATAATACTAGTGAGATCAAAGTCCACCTCTCTAACATGGAGATGCGCTAACGAGTTAAATTTGTCACAAGAACCCATCTGTCGTTGCCTCAATTGACTAAGAATGTAAAACAAATATCATTAACAATAAAGAGAAAATCAATGTTTCAATAAATGAAAATAAACATTCTTTGAAGTCTTTAATCGGCTCTTCATTAATACATCACCTACATTCTACTCAGGCTACATGGACCCCGGTCTGCATTCATCGGCAGGGCTTGCATGCTGGAATAAAAGTAGATCAACTCGGTGCTGAATAAGGTGTACAGTGTTTATTGTTAACTGGAGTCAAGACAGCTTTAAAACTCATTCGAAGACACAAGACTGAATAGAGGAACAAGATTTCAATGTGTCAGGTTATAGATTTTAAATTTTTAAAAGTACCATCTTGTGTTGAGACAAAGTGATGCTGAGCAATGTTAAGATACTCACTAACGAAAGGTTATACTTCTTGCTGTATACTTACAGCTGCCAAATTTCAGTGGGCATGAGTGAGCATCCATAGGGAAGTCCTCCAAGTGCATTGGACATTCAGCTTGTACTGTAAGCCTAAAAGGCAAAAGACCGCTATGCGTTTAAGTCTGTTAGCAGGACAAGAAAATCAATTCCACAGAAATGAACAGAGTTCATGCTGATTTGGGAGATGAAACCGAAATGTTATATTAAACTAATTAAAATTAAAATCAGCTCTTGCTCTTCCCTTTTATGTGTTCCTTTGGAAGGCATTGACTTATCACATCAAAAACCTGAAAGAGCTGACCTCAAAACTATGAGGAAAGGCCATTTAAATGAAAATATAAATTATGTAACTGCAGGTTGTTAAGAACAGTCATTTTCTTCTCATAATATTCTGAGGTACATGTGTGATTATATGGCTCTCAAAGGTTCATTACAAAAGCACATAAAATAGAGTTAATTTTTCAAAGGATTGTGCTCCATAGTTTTCTGAATTTTTTTTTTTACAGTTTGAATTGAAGATATAAAAAAAACTCATTTGTGTTCTTTCAAAAGATTGCTGCTACTCATTCTCCATGTTACTTGTGATTATTATTTTTATTTATGTGTAAGCATGACAGTATGTTAACAATGCATTCACTTTTACTCATTTTGTGAAAAAAACCCACAGAAATATCCCAATATCAAATATGGGGATTAATACAATAAAAATAATTTAAAACAATTTGAAGAAAGTTTTTCACACTTTTCTTTCGCATTATTTTTGATTTGTTTTCTCCTTAGTATCTTTTAAGTCTCCTCTGACTGAAGATTTTTTTCTAGATGTCTTTGTTCCCCTTCATCCAGCCTCAAGCATCAGCCCCATCCTCCTGTACTCTCAGTGGTTCATGTCATTGTATTCCCCACTATATCCTCCCACCCTTCCACCCCAAAATATTCCACACTTATATTCCCCCTCTCCCCAGCAAAGCTTTTCTGAAGTCAAGGGGTAGAGAGAGAGAAGAGTCAGCAAACAGCTGAAGGCAAAAGAAAGAACTGCATGAGCCCTTGACATAAATCGCACTATCATTTTAAACAGACTTTCCAGGCCAGGGCCAGAGGCGAAGATGAGAATGTGGAATAAAGAAAAGAGAATTCTGTTACCTGAAGGAGCATGGCAAGGGCAGGAGAGGAAACGATTGTCTTTAGGAATTGTGACAGATTCTTGGGGAGATCTTTTTGGAATGGTGTGATATTTCCCAGGTCAGGGCCAGAGGCGAAGACGAGAATGTGGAATAAAGAAAAGAAATTCTGTTACCTGAAGGAACATGGCAGGGGCAGGAGAAGAAAATGTTGTCTTTAGGAGCTGTGACAGATGCTTGGGGAGATCTTTTTGGAATGGTGTGATAAGATACTTATGAACTAACCAGACAAAAACCAATTTTCAGCTATATCAAGAGGTCTTACATTACCACAACAGAATTTTGTCATTTTTCTGATTAAAATTATAGTTAAACAAATATTAATTAAAACTAATGCTATAGCACACTGAATTGTGCTCAACGGATTTAAATCCAGCTGGCGGCCGGTCACAAGTGCTGTGCCTCAGGGCTCAGTGTTAGGACCATTTCTGTTTAACGTCTTTATTGATGATCTCATAAGGACATAGGGTGTATCATCAGCAAGTTCGCAGATGACACCAAGTTAAGCAGGAGTGTTGATGCCCAGGAGCATAGGGAAGCTCTACAGAGACTTAGATTGCTTGGATCATTGGGCCAACATCAGTGGTATGAGTTTCAACAAGGGCAAGTGCCAGGTTCTGCACTTGGGCCACAACAACCTGATTTTGCATCCCGGTGCTATATTCACTGATCCCATGTTCCCCTTTAAGCCAAATTTCTTCTAGCTATGCTCACGACTATCGCTATGATGGTTAGCATACAACACAAATGAAGAAGACAGGAAACTATTAAAGTATTTTGAATATAATTAATGAGATTAAAATGCAGCATTTATCAAAAGATGCCACAAAAAGACTTTGTAACTATTTCCTATTCGATATGTGTACCACTGCATGGTAAACACTACGTAAGGTATACTTTCCAAGCAAGACTAATATTCTGTTAGAAATGCAAATCTGGTCTCTAGAAAAAAAGACTAAATTAATATCTGATACTCGTTTCATACAATCTGCAGATATTCTCCTAGATGAAAAAACCTGTGCCATTTGGACATTACCAAACCACCCTCCAGTATATAGTGCATTATCTCCACAAAATCACAAGAGCATACTTCCAGGACCACAAAGGACATTTCTTGGCAAGGAAATGCTTCCTACTGATTTGTGTCTGAAACAGTGGACTCTAACACAATTTAGCACAATTAAGCAAAATATTTCAGATATGTATTATACCACCTTACATGACATTTTTTTTCTCGGTCAATCATACAGATGGTAAAAGGAGTGCTGAGCAGACAGCGAGAAGTGATGGCCTTTCTCAGCTCCTTCGATCTGTGGGCCAAGGAGCTGTGAGGACCCTTTCCAGGCCAGGGCCAGAGGCGAAGATGAGAATGTGGAATAAAGAAAAGAGAATTCTGTTACCTGAAGGAGCATGGCAAGGGCAGGAGAGGAAACGATTGTCTTTAGGAATTGTGACAGATTCTTGGGGAGATCTTTTTGGAATGGTGTGATAAGATACTTATGAACTAACCAGACAAAAACCAATTTTTAGCTATATCAAGAGGTCTTACATTACCACAATACAATTTTGTCATTTTTCTGATTAAAATTATGGTTAAACAAATATTAACTAAAACTAACGCTATAGCACATTGAATTGTGCTCAATGGATTTAAATCCAGCTGGCGGCCAGTCACAAGTGGTGTGCCTCAGGGCTCAGTGTTAGGACCATTTCTGTTTAACGTCTTTATTGATGATCTCAATAAGGACAGAGGGTGTATCATCAGCAAGTTCGCAGATGACACCAAGTTAAGCAGGAGTGTTGATTCCCAGGAGCATAGGGAAGCTCTACAGAGAGACTTAGATAGATTGGATCAATGGGCCAACATCAGTGGTATGAGTTTCAACAAGGGCAAGTGCCAGGTTCTGCACTTGGGCCACAATAACCCGATTTTGCATCCCGGTGCTATATTCACTGATCCCATGTTCTCCTTTAAGCCAAATTTCTTCTAGCTATGATCATGACTATCCCTATGATGGTTAGCATGCAACACAAATGCAGAAAACAGGAAACTATTAAAGTATTTTTAATTTAATCAATGAGATTAAAATGCAGCATTTATCAAAAGATGCCACAAAAAGACTTTGTAACTAATTCCTATTCGATATGTGTACCACTGCATGGTAAACACTACGTGAGGTTTACTTTCCAAGCAAGACTAATATTCTGTTAGAAATGCAAATCTGGACTCTAGAAAAAAAGACTAAATTAATATCTGATACTTGTTTCATACAATCTGCAGATATTTTCCTAGATGAAAAAACCTGTGCCGTTTCTGGACATTACCAAACCACCCTCCAGTATATAGTGCATTATCTCCACAAAATCACAAGAGCATACTTCCAGGACCACAAAGGACATTTCTTGGCAAGGAAATGCTTCCTACTGATTTGTGTCTGAAACAGTGGACTCTAACACAATTTAGCACAATTAAGCAAAATATTTCAGATATGTATTATACCACCTTACATGACATTTTAGGTGCAGATGATGAGACTCTTACTACAGTGTTAAGAATTTCATTCTTCTTTTAATACACAGTTGTTGTGCATAACAGTATGCAAGGTAAAAAGCTTCTCTGGGAGAAGCTTTAACTGACCTGAATATACGCAATCCCTCCTCACTACATGGCAGTCTTCTTTTTTGCTACGGCCAGATTTGTATGGGAAAAGTTCAGACAAAAAATGTACTCTCATCCTCTCAGCTAATGGTTGGCAGATATTGGCAGTCTTTGCATCTGGGGTAAAGATGGAAGTGTTCCAAACATCTCAAATATTGTGAATGTCCATTAGCAAGCAGTATTGTCATGGTGCAGACTGAACATTTTATTAATCGCCCTCTGGAACAGAGCATTTTGTTTAGTGAATAGTTCAGGCCAGAGTTCCTCATTCCCTACTTGTAAAGATTTTTCTCAATCAATTCTCTAGAGAAAGTTTGGCTATTTCTTGACCACTGTTAAAGCCATTAACTGACACACATATATAGCCATGAAAGCAAATTTTAAATACTGTAAAATATAAAACTTTAAAAATGCAAATACAAAAAAAAAGGGAAAGGTAAAATGGCACACATATCTTTTTTATTAATTCCCTAAAGACAATCAGAAATACTGTGGTTGATACATTGATTCATGGACCTAAATCTTACCTAACAATGTAGGGACTTCATATTAATATTTAATTTTACATTTCTTAATTTTAAAAAGGAGACTCAAAAAACCACAATCATTCAAAGCAAAACAATCTGCCAAGTACATGCATTCTTGCTATAATTCTGTATTTGTGGGTTTGACGAGTGCAAGTTTGTGATGAATCTTCTGCAAATGACTTTACCAAGCTTGCTCAATAAGCATTTGGACCTAACTTCTGAGTGAATATTGAAATTAGCTTTTCAGTGGGAGGATCAAATCCTTAGTTTCTTGTCATAATCATTTCATGCTCTGTGGGATACAGTTATGGATGGCAAATGGGCTACAAACACTACAACAGCTTGCAAAACCCCATAGTGCTTGAAGTACACCACTATATGGCTTGGCTTTACCTAGGCCTGTCTACCATACTGGACAAATGATGTTTCTACCATCTCCATCTCACTTTCTACTTATCTTTTCTCCAAAAAAAATAATAAATACATAAAAAAAATTGTCTAACAATATCAGGACTGAAAAAGTTCAGGATGCAATCCTTCTCTCCCCAAAAACCCCTCAACGCTCCAATCACAAACACTGACTTCTCAGGCTCTATAAAAGTACTTCACTAGCTGTGTATCTAACATCAAATCTCATTGCACAGATGTAGAAACTCAGTCAATTTGTTCTTTGCCAAAACTTACCTTCTGATGTGTACAAACTACAGAACACAGAAGGATATAGCAGAGAGCCAGAAATGCCTT